GGGGGGGGTTGGATCATACAATTGTATGTGTCCTGTTTTCTTTGCTGTCGGTGCGTTTCTTTCATCTCAGCTGCGGCTGCTGCGGCTGCGGGTGGCCATGACCGGAGTTTGCAGGCGTCCCAGGAAGGTAATAATGACGAAATTCCATGCATCCATTTTTGCCATTGTGTGTCTGTCTGTCTTGTGTGGATGCTGGCAGTGTTGAAGCAGAGCCAGACCCCCATGAAGAGCTCGCAGCACCGATCGCAGAAGAGAGACTCGCTCCTCCCCCTCAGCATGCCCTCAGGGCCCGCCACACCCGCAGCATCCCAGGGCCCCCACGGGCAGGGGCCAAGCAGCCTAGTCAAGAGCAACGCCAAACCCAAGATACCCACACCGATCCAGGAGGAGGCACACGCATCACCACCGGCAGCATCAGCGGCGGCAGCAGCCGCCATCGGTCCCTCCCCGCCCTCCTTCGCCCTCCAGGCACACACCCAGGACGAGGATGCGGCCTTCGAGACCGCCATGTCGCGGGATGTCCGCCGCGCATCGGGAGAAGACATAGACATGGATTTTGGCATGGGTATGGGTGTGGGGGACGACGCGGCAGCGCTCGATGCCCTCGGCAGGCCGCCATCGCGGGAGCCGATCGCTGGGCAGCACAGCGGGGCCGCGTCGCTTTCGCCGGGGTTCGGCGGGTACTTGATGGGTGGCGAGGGTGAGGGGGATGACGGTATGGATGGGGGCGGGGGAGGCCGGCTGGCGTGTGTGGATGAGAGGCGCCCGACGGCTGTGTTTGGGACCGGGGAGGACGAGCTGCTGCAACCTGACGGTGAGCTGAGTGAGGGAGGGCATTGAACGAATCAATGGCAACACACTGACATGTGGCTGTGTGCGTGTGTGTGTGCAGATCGCCAGAAGGAGTCCATCAGCCCACCGTTGGCATCTCAGAAGGACAACACAGGTACCACACAGACACCGCTAGACTCCAATCGACCCACACCACCTGATGATTGATGCAGATGACGTAGCCCAGCAGCGGTCCGAGCATCGTCGCAAGGACATCGACATGGACCAGAAAGAGGACAGCGCCGTCCAACCACCAGCAGCCCCACCAGCAGCGGCAGCAGAGGCATCCGAGTCCAGTGCCCCCTACCGCGGCCTGGGTCGAGGCGACAGCTACCAGTACGTGGGCGAGCTGTCGCCCGTCGCGAAGAAGAAGAAGCCAGCACTCAAGCCGCCACAGGGGACGGGCGGACCCCTCCCTCCCCCACCCGCCACACCGGCCGACTTCGCACCTCCCCCCAATCTGGGGGCTGTGGGGGGCCTGACGCGTCATGGCAGGGGCGACTACGTCCCGCCCCCTGAGCCGGCGTGTGCGGCCGCCGCTGCCGCGGCCGCTGCTGGAGGTGA